GTGCACAAAACGCACTTATCACCACGCAAGAGAGAACTGGTCAACTTTGGCTGGCGGATTTGATGCTCAACGGTCACAAAAATGGCATTTTTGGGCATTTAACGGTAGGAATTTCACTTATAATCCATCCCAGACAGGCGCTACATATAAACCTAAAAATTCTCCTTACTTTTTAACTACACATTCTTTCATCAATCACTATTCAAAAACACATTTCTACCAAAATGGGTGTCAATAGAATTTGCTCTAAATAAGATATTTTCAATTTTTATTAATCCATATCCTTCTTATATAATTCAAGCAAGTTATTCTTTCTATATGAAGTTCCATTATCCTTTATGCATTATTACACGCACGAAAGTTACCATGCCATTAAATTGTCGAGATCTTTTAACATCTTGACAACGACTAATGAGTTAAAACAGATTCCGAGATACCATTTATTTTAGGAATTAGTCTAAATGTACACATTGTGTGTATATCTAGCATATCTCTCCTTATAGCGGATTAGCACAAATGGCTGCGCCAGGGAGTGGTTTTGTAATTATGACCTATGACTGGAAAAAGAAAAATAAAAAATAAAAAAATAGATGAAGTATCTTTCTGAAAGTAAACCCGCCTCCCTAAACCACAAAAGAAACGTTATGACGTCTAAGCAAGAAATTATTTGAAAATGAGCAAAGCTGCGATCTTTACTGCTACTGCTACTGCAACTGCAACTGCAATTCGTATACTTCACTTGTTAATCATGGCAACCTGCTTCTCTCTATCTCGCTCAATTCTTGTTCAACCCATCTGCCCCCTGATAAATTCCCATTCACTTTCTTACCCCAAACAACTCCTTAAATCCCATCCCTGTCCTCTCTGGTCTTCTTCTTTCTCTCTCTGCCTTCTCCGTTTCCGCTCTCCTCGAAGATCAACCACCGCCCTTCGCTCCTACTCTTCATCAACGGTCATCAAAACTGAAAATAATCCTCTTTTGAAAGACTTCTATTTCCCGCCGTTTGATT